CTCTCTTTTTTTTTTTTGGAAAGTATCTTATGCTAACCAAGGCTACATTTATTTATTAAAAATACAGTAAACACTGTAATATTGTAAAATATTGTCAATTTAAATTATCTATTTTAATGTTTTAACATACTGTATTCCTGTGATCAAAGCTGAATTTTCAACATCATTGCTCCAGTCTTCAGTGTCACATGATCCTTCAGAAATTATTCTAATATGCTGATTTGCTGCTCAAGAAACATTTCTGATTATTATCAATGTTGAAAACAGTTGTGCTGCTTAATATTTTTGAGGAACCTTTTTTTCACGATTCTCTTATGAATATTTGAAATGGTCCTTTGTGTCAGAGCGCTGGAGTTCGTCAGAAATAGAACGGGGCATCAGTTTACTGTCATGAATTTGTGTCGCGCCGCATCCACAGCAGAGAACATCACTGGGTTCTATTTGCTTCTGTCAAATCGCGCCGTTCGCGTCTGGTGTAGACACGTTGTTTTGGTATTTGTGAATCTTAAGTATATTCATAATCTGCTTTACGTTTACCTGGCACTGGCAGTATTTTCACAAACTTGTAACTTACATGCTTAGAGCAGAACCACATCGTTCATTTATATTTCTACATGGCTGCCTCCAATACAACTCTGATCCTTCAATCACGCCATCTAGTGGTCTGTTATTGATACAACCACAACTTCTACAACTGATAAAGGAGCGCTTGGTACTGTGAGTCATGATGAGGTAATTAAAATGTCAAATTTATATTTTGTACTCAATTATTTACTTATCAGACAAGTGGCCGCATGATAAGCGGGAAAATTACACAGTGTAGTCTTTATCACCCTGCAGAGGTTTCTTTTGCAAAATAATCTGCTGACTGTACACTATCCCTCAGTTTGGGAATCACTGGAGTAGGAGATTTGTGCTCTATTAATTTGGTCCGTTACGATGCTCTATGTGTTTGATTACTAATGCCTGTGTAGTATGGCATTGCACACAGAGGACAAAAACGTTCAGCCTCGACTCTTTATCGTCATTTGTGCTTAAATTTGCAAAGCGTACCAAATTGAACAAAACAATATAAATGCAAAATTTTAATTTATGAATATATAACGGTATCCACGGTATAGCAAAACCCCTATCATGGAACAACATAATACACTTTCACTTTACACAAGTCACTTTCATACCGGTATAGCGCCCACCCCTAGCTCAGTGTTTCCCAACCGGGGTGCCGTCTGTCGAGAGCAGGGGTGCCGTGTAAAAAAAATAATCTCATAATGGTAATTAAATAATGTTTACATATGTACATAAGCCTACAT